GCCTTTAGGCCAGCAGCCCAGTGCCTAACTGCTGCACCACCAGAGCACCTAACTACTAGTTCAGAACAGCTTCCATTATTTCTGAACTGTAGCAAAATGCTCTCACAGCATTTTACATTTTGTGAAAACACTTTCACAGCACTAACAGGATTTCTGGGTACACTGGTCAGTGGTGGGAACCTCACCTTCCCTTCGAGACCTGGGCTCAATTCCCGGCTGTACCAGTGGTACAGGTACAGCTACCAGCTGCCTGCCGGCAGAGGTGTGAGTGCTGCATGTCTCCTGATCGCTTGCCTGCCAGTACCAACGGTGTTGATTGTGTGTGGATCCAAGAAAGATTGAAATCATGAACAATTTCCATCTTTACTCCTATCATGATGCTGCTTATAGGTCCACTAATGAGAAGTTTTTGTCTTCTTGGTGTTAAGATGCAATTTATATGGTAGGCTGTAGTCTTTGATCTCTCTAGCAAGCATTGCAAGTCCTCCTCACTTTCAGCAAGCAGGGTAGCATTATCTCCACAATGGAGGTTGATGAGTCTCCCTCCTATCCTGCTGCCACATTCTTTATAGCGTCCAGGTGGTCGAAGGATTTGCTAAGCATACAGATTTTATAGGTATGGAGAAAGGATACAACCTTGACACAGTCCTTTCTGGATTTTAAACCACACTGTGTTCCTGTCCTCTGTTCCTACAACAGCTTCTTAGTCTAGATAGAGCTTTTGTATGACCATAATTAAATATTCTGGGATTCCCATTCTTCTCAATATCAACCATAGTTTATTAAGATCCATAAAAATGCCTTTGCATAGTCAATAAAGCACAAATAGACATTCTTCGGGTATTCTCTGCTTTCAGCCAGGATTCACCTGACATCGGCAATGATGTGCCTGACTTCATCTAAATCCAGTTGGAACTTCTGAAGTCTTCTCTCACTGTTGTTTTTGGATGATCTCCAACAGCATTTTGTTTGTATGTGATAGTAATGAGAGTTTGGTATTTTCCACATTCTGTTGGATCACCTTTTTTGGGAATGGGAACACATATGGATCTCTTCTAGTCAGTTGGCCAGGCAGCTGTCCTCCATTTATCCTGACAGACTGGTGAGCACATCCAGTGCTGCACCTTAGTTCAATCACGTCAACTGCTATCCCACTGATTTCTAGGGCCTTATTTTGTGAATGACTCCAGGCAGCTTGGACATCTTCATTACTATTGGCTCTTGTTACTTCCTATAGTATTTCAGTGTTGACCAATTATTTTTGTTATAGTGACTCTATGTATTCTCTTATCTTCTTTTGATGTTTCCTGAGTCATTCAACATTTTGCTCATAAAATCATTCACTATTGCAACTCAAAGCTTGAATTTTTCAATTCTTCCAGCTTGAGAAATGCTGACCAAACTCCTCATTCTGACTCTAGCTGTTTGTACATCCCATTATAATACTTTTGTCTTCTCAAGGTGTTCTTTGAAATCCGTTCATCTTCTTTACTTTTGTATCTCTTCCTTTAGTTTTGGCTTCTCGATGCTCTAATGCAATTTTCAGACTTTCTCCAGACATTCATTTTGGTTTCTAATTTCTCCTCTTCTTAGGTGGAACACATTACTAACATGTGTAGGCTACTAAGGGGATTGGCCAGAACTGAGCAGGTCTGGGGGCTGAAAATGAGAGTCTTGCTGTCATCAAGAAAGAAGCAGAGGTACTCACTTTGGCAGCACATATACTAAAACTGGAGCGATACAGAGAAGATTGGCATGGCCCCTGCTCAAAGATGACACACAAATTAATGAAGTATTCCATATTTTAAAAAAAAGGGCAGCAGAGAGTGCAGTGATTGTTCAGGCCCGAGATTTCAGTGTGACATTGAGACCCAGCAGCAGCAGCTGAAAGGTGGAGCTGGAGGAAGGAAGAGCCAACATGAACTGCCTTGAGCAGAGCCAGGGTGGAGGGCCCTGCCGTAGACATGCCGATGGAGCAGGGAGGGCGAAGAGCAGTGAGTCTGAAGAGCGAGCCAAGAAGCAGGGTCTGGCGAGGCTGCAGGGGAGAGGGAGGCCTGCCTGAGATGCTGTCCTGACTGAAGAATTAGATCCTGAGCGTTTGTGACCCAATTTGTAACCTGCCATGTCCTTAATAAACCCCACAATCACCAGCAATATCTGAGTTCTGGGTGGCCAGTGCCAGACATCACGAACCCAGCAGCAGTGGTGATGTGGGAGCCAACCGCTGGTGTCAGAATCGACAATGGCTCAGGAGCACGGGACGTACGAATGGGTTCAGTGCTGCTGATGTTGACGGACACCCTCGTGGAGGCCGGACACCACTGCCCTCTTGCTGGCCACAATCTCCAGTCCTATGACTTCCTCGGAATTGTTAGTTGACAGAACACTTTTTAACACAAATTAATGCTCTTGAATCCCAAGAACTCAGCTGGTGGAACAGTAACATGGTGTCTCGTTAGTGTGACCCCTGTGGACTGGACTGCTGAGGGTGCTATCCACCTAGTGAAGACTCCATGTGACAGAATGCAGCTGCTGTGGCGTCGGGTTTATTGTTCATAATGGCTTTCCTAGCCACTGACAGTGACTTTGCCATGTGGATGGGCAGGGAGAGGGTGTGTTAAGCCAAGGCGATTGGCTAGTCATGCCACCAAACTGAGCAGATTCAGCGGCAGATTTTGAGAATTTTAAACCCAACAAAGCAGCACAGTTCAGAGTCTGCATCCTCAGGGCTGAAGAGTCCTATGCCTCGCAGACTGGGGCTTACTGGATTTGTGGACCCCACGTGACAAACAGTTGACCTTGGCACTGGTAGCCCACAGATCCAGAACGAACAGCCTTTGCCCGAGGGTCCTGGACCCCTTGTGGGGGTGGGGGAGTCATAATTGGCAGGACTAAGCTTTGTAACTCTGGCCTAAACCCAAGGTGAGACTGAAGGCTGAGGTACCTGTGAGCACATTTCAGCAGCTGTCCTGAGGGACTTTATTCTGCAATTAACTTCAGTTACAGCATTTGACTTACCTAATAGAGCTCTGTGTAGTCTATAGGCTGCCACAATGGATTCTGGATGCAGTAGAACAGTGAAATGGGTGTTGAGATGAGTGGAAAGAGGTGTGGGGGACGTGTGTGACCTCGTGAGAACTGGTTCTGTGCTGTGGACAATGAGGGGGCCGTTGCCCTTGTGGAGTTAGTGGAGGTCAGACACAGCTTTCTCCAGGCTGCCATTCCTTCCCCAGCTGCGTGATGTGTGTCAGCTATGCTCTTTCACTGCCCTTCCTTCCCCAGCTGCCTGTGATCTTTGTGGGACCAGGTGGCTAGTACTTTTCCTGATGAAGCCACCAATGGGTTTGAACCATCAGGTTTTTTAGTAGCTCAGTGCTTAAAAACGTCACAAGGGCTCCTTAACAAAACTTGCCCTTTTATCAAGCTGATTCTGGTCCAAGTGACCACACAGGACGAGAACTGCCACAGGGTTTCCAAGACTGCAGGTCTTTACGGAAGCAGACTGCTATATCCTCCCCTCCCTCGAGCAGCTGATGGGCGTCAAGCAGTCCTCTAGTTAGCAGCCAATGCCTTAACTAGGGCACCACTAAATCTCTTGAGAATGTCACTGACCAGCATTACTTCTCTCGATTTCTGTTTTGTGCTGCCTGCCTATAATTTGATGCTGTAAACACACTAAATACCAAATACATTAAGCAACAAATGTAGTAGTATCAACATCAATGCCATGGAATGAAATAAAATTGAAGATTTTATTGAGTGAATTTGGGGATTTTTAACTAAGTTTTAATATCAGTATGCTTTTTTTAAAAAAAAATTCTTAAGTCTCAAGCCATCAGCAGGACTGTTCCTGGTTAGGCATCTATGACATCTTGGCAAACAATGGAAACACAATGACACTGGCAGCCTGACATTATCAACAACTGACACCGGTCTGTTAACTGTAGTTAATAAAAGGTCATCATGAAGACCACGAGAAATGGGAGATGAGACACAGAGGACAGGCTGGTCCCTCCCACGGTTCAAATCCACCAGAGGCCCTTTGGGAGAAGGGCAATCTCCCCCTGTGGCATCTAGTCTGGAAACCCAGTGAAGGATCAGCTGTGAGCTGGTTCCGATCCCACGGCACTGAGTGAGCTGGGGACTGAGGGCCCGGACGCAAGCTCCCTGCACCACTCACTGCTCTCGGCTGGAGGCTTTTACACTCAGGGGACTTGCCCTGTCGCCTTAGCTGGCTCACCCCACACGACTGTGAGGACCCGGGGATCTGCCTGCCATGACCACAGAGCAGTACGTCCCCCCATGGACAGTGCACGTGAGGTGGGCATGTGGAACTGAGGAATGAACCCACACCCAAAGGCCACCCCTTAGGGGTGGCCGAATCCACGAGTGGCTCCAGAGCAGAGAGAAAGGCAATCTCCTCCCATGCAATTCACAGCACTGGACACTGGTTCTGGCACGACAGCAACGGCTCAACTTCCGATTTACGTTTTCGGAGAAGCATGTAAGGAACCCTGGTGGTACAGCGGGTGTAGCATGCCAGGCTGCTAACCAGAAGGTCAGGGGTTTGAATCTGTCGGCTGTTGCGTGGGAGAAAGACATAAACGCACAGACTCACAGCCTGGGAAAGTCCAAGGAGGCCCCAGGGGTGGGAGGTGATGAGGGCAGTGGACAGTTCTGGAATCCATGCCTCCACACAGCCCGTGCCTCCCTGCAGCTCTGAGGGGTTTCCCCCTGCTTGGTGGGGGTCACAGGCCACAGTCACAGCAATCTAAAGGCCTAAGGCACTGCGGTCTGCTTTATTGACCTGGCGGGAAACCTCCCACAGCATGGCTGCTGGCTGAGAGGTGCTGGCAGCGAAACAGAAGCATGTCCGTGGCTAGGAGGGTGACAGTGTGTCCCATGTGGTGTCTCCGTGAGGACAGGTTCCGTGGGCCTCTGACCCAATTACCTCCCCACACTTCACACTTCAAGAGGTGTGTCGACCTGCTCTCTGGCTCTCAGGACCTGTTATCTTCCACCACGATGGCTCTCCTTGGATAGGCCTCCACCTCCACGAATATGTAACGGAAGTCATACTGTCTGCTTGCTGGGTTCTGAAAGAGGTGTGTGAAGGCTGAGGAGTGCCTGGGGCGGAGGGTCCCCATCCCTCCACTTCTATACGCATGACCCTCTCCCCCCATAATTTCCTCCTCCACATCCTTTACATGCACGTGTATCAGCCCCTATTCCAACATCTCCTTCCCTTCTACATGCATGATGCCCTCCTCCCCACCTCCCCCACTTCACGTGCAGTCCACCACCCCCTCCTGCACCCCTACCTCCTTCACTTCCACGTGCACAGTCCCATGCTTCCCTGGCTCAGAGCCCTCAATGTAGAACTTGAGGCGTATGTGCTGCAGCCCGTCTTTGACGTACTCGACGTAGCTGTGGGGACACGAGGCGGCACTCATCTGAGTACTGTGAGGGGATTATGTTCTCTGCACTCCCCCAGCCCCATCTGGCCAGTACCTGACGTGCTGCCTCCTCCCTCGTCGGGTCATCTCCCCGTAGCCTTTGATTGGCTCCCCGAAAACCCCGAGCACCTGAGGAAAAGACAGGACTCAGCTCAGGCTTCCCAGAGTCCTCCGTTCTGAGCAGCCCGAGAAGCAGCTGCCACAACAGCCCCCTAAAAGTCCAAGCACCTGGGGGAGGACGGGCCTCAGCTCACACCATGTGCAAGACCCTCGTGCTGGGGAAGCAGAGGAGCGGCCACAACTTGAGACCCCGAGCACCTGGGGGAGGACGGGCCTCAGCTCACACCATGTGCAAGACCCTCGTGCTGGGGAAGCAGAGGAGCGGCCACAACTTGAGACCCCGAGCTCCTGGGGGA